TAAGAAGAAGAATGGAAGATAATATTTGAAAAGAAAACAATAAATTTAACAGACGTTAAGTAAATTATTATATGTATTAAAAGATTGATTCTTAGATTCAGACATCACAACAAATCCCAAGCAAGTTAAAGAGAAATCTATACTTAGACACTTGTAGAGAAACTATGAAAGTAAAACAAAAAAGAAAAAAAGTCCATTAGAAAGAATAAGAAAGACAGGTTTACTACCAAAGAAGGACAATTAACTTGACAGTTGACTTCTCAACAGCAACATGGAAGTGAGAAGACAGTGGAATACTCTTTTTAAATTGTCAGAGATAAAATAACTGCAATCATGTAATTGTTCACCTAGTAAAACTATCATTTAATAGTAAGATGAAATAAAGAGTTTTTCATACAAATATTGAGAAAGTTTACCACCATGAAATCTTAAAAGATTTGATGAACTCCTACATGATAGATTTTGTAAAGAAGAAAATGGATCTTAGAGGTTCTCAATTTCAAGAAAAAAACAATAAGCAACAACAATAATAATATGCTAATATCTAAATGCAAATATGGAATAAAACAATGACCTCTAATTTATGGAGTTGCAAAAAAATTTCAAAATAAAATGCTCAATTAAGAAATCATATATCAGGAGGAATGCCATTTAATATTAAAACATTATAAGCTTCTTATACTCTGCAGAGTAGAAGTGTTAATTAAATTTAGACTTTTGAAAATTAAATATGCTGGTTAAAATTTTTAGGATAACCACAAAAACTACAGAGGAAAAAATGGAATAAAGAAAAACTAAATCTGAAACAACCCAAAGAAGTAAAAATGGGGAAAAGCAAAACAAAACAGAAAAACTGGAGTATATAGACTGTGAAAGTGAGATGGTAGAAATAAAAGGTAGATTACCTTTACCAAATATACTGAAATAGTGTATTTGTATAAAAGTTTTAATTAATCAAAAAGATATAGCCACTCTAGTTCATATAGTGCAATGATATGGCTTCAAAATATATAAAATAAATGTGAAAAGAACTATAAGAAGAAACTGACATGCCAAATCCATTGTCACACTAGATCTGCAGTTCTTACACTTCAGTGAGCGCTCAGATCACCTTGATGGCTTGTTAAAACCCAGATTGAAGCTGGGTGCGGTGGTTTATGCCTGTAATCCCAGCACTTTGGGAGGCTGAGGTGGGCATATCACTTGAGGTCAGGAGTTTGAGACCAGCCTGGCCAAATGGTGAAACCCCGTCTCTACTAAAAATACAAAAATTAAAAACAAACAAACGAAAAACAAAAATTTGCCAGGTATGGTAGCGCATGCCTATAGTCCCAGCTACTCATCAGGCTGAGGCAAAAGAATCGCCTGAACCCGGGAGGCAGAGGTTGCAGTGAGCCAGGATGGTGCCCTACACTCCAGCCTGGGTGACAGTGTAAGACTCCAACTCAAAAAAATTGATCTAACTTCCTTTCCAACCTGATCTGCCTGAAATATCCCATGTGAACAATTCTCTCTGGAGAGACTGGTCTACTTCTTATGGCTTGATTATGCCATTTGGCCAAAGTTAAAATTTTTTTTCTCCCCTTCTCCCTACAGAACTTTGCCTATTAAATTTTTGATAATAGCTCAAAACCCAATTCTCTGTGGACATTTTTTTTTGTATTTTTAGTAGAGACAGGGTTTCACTATGTTGGCCATGCTAGTCTTGAACTCCTGGCCTCGTAATTGACTTGCCTCAGCCTCCCAAAGTGCTGGGATTACAGGTGTAAGCCACCATGCCTGGTCCCAATTATTAATTCAATTAACTATATAGGAATTTTGGGAAGACAGGACACACCACAGATACATTCTTATGGGAGTAGGTCAAAGAAGTCTGACATGTGGCTGCTTTCTGTCCCTACACAGAAAAAAATTCACATAGTATAGTTCATTCACCACAAACTTTTAGGCCAAAGTCTGGTTACACAGTCAGATCCATCATGTGGAAAGTAAAACATCTTTGACCTTCTACTTATTTTTAATTTTTATTACATAATTTGAGGTAATATATGTATGCATTTTTTTTTTTTTTTTGGGAAGACTTACCCCTACCCTACGGGGCTTTTATTTTATTTTTTTTATTGCATTTTAGGTTTTGGGGTACATGTGCAGAACATGCAAGACAGTTGCATTGGTACACACATGGCAGTGTGTTTTGCTGCCTTACTCCCCTTCACCCACATTTGGCATTTCTCCCCAGGCTATCCCTCCCCAGCTCCCCGCCCCGCCCTGCTGCCGCTGTCCCTCCCCTATTCCCCCCAATAGACCCCAGTGTTTAGTACTCCCTTCCCTGCGTCCATGTGTTCTCATTTTTCATCACCCGCCTATGAGTGAGAATATGCGGTATGTATGCATTTTTAACTTAATCACTTTATAAGCTTTACAAAGAAAAATAATCTTGTCCAATCCTGCCCATTTCTGAGTTCCACCACCTAGAGGAACTACTTCCAACTTTTAGGCTCTTCAGATTTTCATTCCATTTTTGAAGAAACATACCTATATTGCTACTTCTTGATTTAGACATGATTTTCTCTATTAGATTAGGATTTAGTTATTTCTTAACTACGATCCTTAGACTTTACTGCACACAAATACTTCTTCATGTTCCCAACATAAATCTTTCACAATTTTTGGCCAAGTCAGAGTACAGTGTTTACATTGTTTTGATCCTGTAAGTATTGTTCTCAGTTGAGCCATGGGGTACCCAGTGAACACATTTTTTTCCTTGTATAACTTCTAAATTTTACAAGAGTTAATTGCTTCTTTTGTATTTATAATTTCCTATTTACGTATCAATAAGTTATGCCCAAATTCTCCATTCAAGTGTCTAACATGCCCCTCAGTATTGTCAGATTCAATCGGCAATTTCTATGTTCCATTTTCCCCCCTTGAAGACACCCCTCTCGGAGTACTTCAGCTTCTTATTCCAATCTGGCTTACTGAAGAGTTGTTATCCCAGGAATCCATTCACTATCATCCTAGAAATTCTCATCACCTCTTTCTTCCGTGGGATACCGTCTTCCTTGTTTCTCCTGTGTGCTTAGGGTGGGGCTTGTCAGATGGTAGGCCTTTCTGTACACAAGGCCAGTCTGGTTCTTTGTGGAATCCCAAACGCCAGTTATCTTTAAGATTTATCTCTTGGGCTTATCAGCTTTCTCAGACAGAATCATTCAGTTGCCTGATGGTAGGGGTGTGCATACAAGACTGGCAGCCAGCGTTTTGGAAAGGCCTTGGGGTAGAGGTGGGTTTACTCCTCAGTATGCAGATGTTTCCTTAATCTCTCTGTTTTCAATAAAGAACCTTACTTTTACCTTCAAAGTTTCCAGGGGTCTAGAAAACTTCCCTCTCCAGTCTAGATGGATGAGGTTGAAAGTCATATCATCAGATCATAAAACTACCAAGATTATAAAAGAGGTCAATCTGTTAAATTTTATAGTCAACAAATATTTATTAAGTGCCTAATTTGAACAAGGCATTGTGTTAGAAGTTGAGAGAATGCATACTTCTTTACCAAATTCCTTGGAACTGGGACCTATTATTTGAGAGAAAAAAAGAGTCAAGTTTTCTACAAATCTCAGAAAGTAGTGTTTACACATAAGGTTTTGAAACGCATTACTCCAAGAGGGTCTAGGCCAAATGTGGAAACAGTTTCAAAAAAATGTAGGAAAATTTATAATATCAGGTCCATCAAGACAAACTAAAATTTTGTAGGAATATTTCTAACCTCTGAGACTCTTAACAAAGAGAGCAAACGTCTTTCAACAATTTTTTTTTTTTTTGAGACTAAGTCTCTTTCTCCCAGGCTGAAGTGCGGTGGCGTAAGCTCGGCTTACTGCAACCTGCACCTCCTGGGTGCAACTGATTCTCCTGTCTCAGCCTCTAGAGTAGCTGGGATTTAGCCACCCGCCACCATACCCAGCTCATTTTTGTGTTTTTAGTAGAAACGAGGTTTCACCATGTTGGCCAGGCTGGTGTTGAACTCCTGATCTCAAGTAATCCACCCTCCCTGGCCTCCCAAAGTGCTGGAATTACAAGTGTTAGCCACCGTGCCAGGGCATCTTTCGACAATTTTGATTGGTAGTGAAAGGTATGTTTTTGGAATGCTACATGCAGTTCCTAGAATATACTAAATTCTACTTCGATGAAGTGTATCTACTATTGTGCATATCTGTCAGCAGATATTTTCTATATTATTCAAATTATGGGTGGAGTGTAGTCTTTGGGCCTCTGGAGGTCCCCAAGGTCACAACTAGTTTTTATAGTAATCCTAAGACGTTGTTTGCCTTAGTATTATTAATACTAGTATTATTAACAATAGCCTTTTCTATTGTGTTGATATTTACAATGATGTTTGTGCTTTAGTATAAACAATGACAGTAGCATAAAACTATGCCAGCAGATGCTGTATTCTTCATGTTGGAAATAGATGTTCGATACTGCAAAGAAAAATTAGCACTGGGACAAAGGATCTTTCAACAATGCAATTTTTACTTCCTGGACTGCAGGAAGGGTGCTCTCACTCACCATCTTGCCATGAGAGTACAGAGAACAAAGGAAAACGGATATATTCACTTCTTATGCATTGAGGGTTATCCTTATTGCTGTGTCTGATCTCTGTTGGCTGGAGCCAGACCTCATAATCTAAACTAAAACCCGATTGGCTAATAACTGGAAGCTTTTCTAAACAGGTAAAAGCGATGGACAGCTGGGGCATGCCTGTGAGCACATTCAGCACAGATATCTCAGTTAAAGTACAAGGACATAGAAGGTACTACGTGCCTGTAAGCATGGCATGTCTAATACCTACATAAGATAGGGCTCAACAAAGCTATTAGCACACTTATTCTTTAACAAGAAAGGAAACTTTAAAAAGGAACTTTTCTACTTCCCACACTTCACCCCAAGGCTCTTGCAGAAAAAAAAAATGCCAGTTTCATTGTTCCACTGAAGAATGTCTTTGAGTGTTCGCTTCAGCAGCACATATACTAAAATTGTAATGATACAGAGAAAATTGGCACAGCCCCTATGCAAGGAAGACATACACGTTTGTGAAGCCTTCCGTATTTTCAAAAAAGAATGTCTTTGAAACAGCATTGAAAACACTTCTCAAATCTCAACCATTATGTACACTTTAAAAATATTCTGTATGACAAAATGGGATCCGCACAGAAAATGCTGTGGCTGCATACTCAAGTGTGACGGCGGTGCGGGGAAAAGTGCACGTTTAACTGCGTGAGACACAAGCTGAAGAGCCGTTTTTCACAATACACATGTTTTTTTTTTAACTTGAAAGAACAGCTGACAGACAAATTATAGTTATTCGTACTTGAGAATTTGTAAGACATTTTCTCAAAAATTAATGAAGTGAGTCTGTCACTTCAAGGAAAACAACTGGCGGTATTTGTTGCCAGTGATAGAATTTAGCTTTCAAGTGAAAATTAGAATATTGGAAAATTCATATTCACCACTGTGGGCTTGACAGTATCCTAATACTTAAGGCTTTGCTGATGAGAGTGCTGATGATGTTAACAATTGTGATTTAGAAAAAAAATTGTTTTTGGAGAAAGGGTCTCACTCTGGTGCCCAGGCTGAACTAGAACTCCTGGGCTCAAGCGATTCTCCCACCTAAGCCTCCCAAGTGGCAGGGACTACAGGTGAACCTGACTGTGCCCAGCTATCAATCGTATTTTTTTGATATTAAAATAATCGCATTGATGATAAAACATGTCAAATTTGGGAAGAGCAACATAACTCAGTGAACCAATATTTTCCAAATGATTATGCACAGGTAAAAGAACCATTCAAAGTGAAAGATGGAAGAATTTTGATTTCACAAGCAACATTTAAGAAACGACTACTTGGTGATTTGGGGGTAACAGTTAAGAAAAATATCCACAACTATCTGAAAATCTATTAAAATACTCCTTCATTTTCCAACTATACATATATCAGCATAATGAAAGAAGTAATAGACGTGAGGATCCAGCTGTCTTCTATTAAGCCAGACATTGAGGTGTTGATTGATTGATTTATATGTAAATTTTACTTTAAGTTCTGGGATACATGTGCTGAACGTGCAGGTTTATTACATAGGTATACATGTGCCATGGTGGTTTGCTGCACGCATCAACATTTTGAGATGGAGTGTTGCTCCATTGTCCAGGCTGGAGTGCAGTGGTGCCATCTCGGCTCACTGCAACCTCTGCCTCCTGGGTTCAAGTGATTCTCCTGCCTCAGCCTCTCAAGCAGCTGGGACTACAGGTACATGCCACCAAGCCCAGCTAATTTTTGTATTTTTAGTAGAGAAGGAGTTTCACCATATTTGCCAGGTTGGTCTCAAACTCCTGACCTCAGGATCGACCTGCCTCAGCCTCCCAGAGTGCTTGGATTACAGGTGTGAGCCACTGTGCTCAGCCTGTCATCTAGGTTTTAAGCCCTGTATGCATTAGGTATTTGTCCTAATGCTCTCCCTCCCCTTTCCCCCAAACCCCAATAGTCCCTGGTGTGTGATGGTCCCCTCCCCGTGTCCATGTGTTCTCATTGTTCAACTCCCACTTATGAGTGAGAACATGCTGTGTTTGCTTTTTTGGTCTGTGTTAGTTTGCTGAGAATAATGGTTTCCAGCTTTATCCATGTTCCTGCAAAGGAAATGAACTCATTATTTTTAATGGCTACACAGTATTCCATGGTGTATATGTGCCACATTTCCTTTATCCAGTCTATCTTTGATGGGCATTTGGGTTGGTTCCAAGTCTTTGTTATTGGAAATAGTGCTGCAATAAACATATGTGTGCATGCAGAGATTAAGGTTTTTGCAATGATGTAACAATGCTATTTTTCTCACTATTTTAAAAAAATAGTTAACTATCATAAAATATGCAGTGATTCCTAATTTTTGATATTACCGAACCTCCCCTCCAGGGATGCTGGGCAATATCCACAGACATTTTTGGTTGTCACATTGGGTGGAGATGGCAGGAAAGATGCTGCTGGCATCTAGTGTGTAGAGGGCAGGGATGCTACTGAACATCTTATAATGCACAGAACAGCTCCCACAGCAAAGAGTTATCCAGCATGAAACATCAATAGTTCGGAGGCTGAGAAGCCCTAGGCTAAATTATAGAAGAGAGATACAAAAGCTGCCTGTCAAAACAAAACAATGAAGCCAAATCACCTAAGTGTATGTATCCAAAATGCTACATTTTTAGATCAAGACTCATACAGATTAGAGTAAGATATTAGGTTTAAGTCATGAAAGCTGTTTTCTGATTCACCAGAGAGAACAGTCTGTAATTTTCTTTTTCTTTTTCTTTTTTTTTGAGATGGAATCTCGCTCTGTTGCCCAGGCTGGAGTGCAGTGATGTGATCTCAGTTCACTACAAACTCTGCCTCAGGAGTTCAAGTGATTCTTCTGCCTTAGCCTCCTGAGTAACTGAGATTACAGGCAGCACACCTGGCTGATTTTTGTGTCTTTAGTAGAGAAGAAGTTTCACTATGTTGGCCAGGCTGGTCTGGATCTCCTGACCTCAGATGATCCACCTGCCTCAGACCCCTAAAATGCTGGGATTACAGACATGAGCCATCACTCCTGGCCTCCGTCTGTAATTTTCTACAGGAAAATATAGGGCTAACTTTTGAGCTCTGGTTTATCATGAAAGCTAACAGTGTTTTCGAAGTTCATTCTATCTCATCTTCAACATATAATTCATGTTTGGTATTGTAATTTGCATTTGTGTTTCTGAATATATAGCAAATGTCAGGCCAGTGAGTGTGAACATGAAATAAAAGACACAGTAATTAGCACCCTGTACTCTGGGCTTTGACTCAAGGCATATTCTTCTTTTTTTTTTTGAGACAGAGTCTCACTCCGTCACCAGGCGCCAGGCTGGAGTTCATTGGCACGACCTCAGTTCACTGCAACCTCTGCCTCCCGGGTTCAAGCAATTCTCCTGCCTCAGCCTCCTGAGTAGCTGGGACTACAGGCACAGGCCACCATGCCCAGCTAATTTTTTTTGTAATTTTAGTAGAGATGGGGTTTCACCATGTTGGCCAAGATGGTCTCGATCTCTTGACCTCGTGATCCACCCACTTTGGCCTCCCAAAGTGGGATTACAGGTGTGAGCCACTGTGCCTGGCCAACTCAAGGCATCTTCTAAGGTTCCCCAATTGTTCATAAAATACAAGACTTAAAGCATTAGTAAGATGTCATGTTTTTGAAAAATAGAATAGTACTAGAGAATAAAGCTAGTTCATGGTTGTTGGACACATCGATGACATCGTTTTGGTAAGACAGAATTCATACAACTCCTAAAAATCTCACTGCAGGTGGGATCATCATATCAGTGAACTAGTCATACTGATGTGTGGTTGAATTTTATCTTTCCAACTATTACTACTCATCCCCCAATATGGTGAAGTCCTAACCCCTGATACCTATGAATGTGACTTTATTTGAAAGTTGGGTCTTTGCAGACATAATCAAGTTAAAATGAAGTCATACTGGTTGGGCCCTAAACCCAATCACTGATGTATTTATAAGGACAGACAGATTTGGAGACACACACACAGAAGGAATAATGCCACTTAAAGACAGAAGCTGAGACTGGAGTGAAACAGCTACCAGACAAGAATGCCCAGCATTTCCAGGAACCGCCAGCAACAAAAAAGTGGCAGGGAAGAATTCTTTCCTAGAACCTTCAGAGGGATCATGGCCCTGCCAATTTTGGACTTCTAGAACTGTAATACAATACATTTCTGTTGTTTTAAGCCACCCAGCCTGTGGTATTTTGTTACAGCAGCTCTAGGAAACTAACAAACCTACCAATCTATACCAAAATCTCTTCTTCAAACCTTTTGCAGGTAGGTTAGTGGTCCTGGGCTGAGAGAGTCCAATAATGGGACAGAACAGGGAGATTCATTGCTGGCTGTTTTTAAAAGTTATAGAGTTCTTCCTTATAATGAACAGACAGACATGTCTGCTTGGTTGTTCACATTGTTTTATTTTTCTGAACCGTTTAGAAGTCTGTCATATGCAACACATACCATGATATACTTTGGCAAATGACTCACCGAAAGTTCATCTTGTTCAAAGACAGAAACTGAAATCCTGAAAGGTCACATTGAGGCTCTGGTTACTGACCAGCTTCAAAGCCAGCAGGTAGCTCCCCTTGAGCTCAGAGAAAAACTGTGGCTACCATGATTGAGAATGGGTGGCATCACCTCAAATCATTCACATTCAGTTTTTATTATTTATTTATTTTTAATTGCATTTTAGGTTTTGGGGTACATGTGCACAACATGCAAGACATTTGCATAGGTACACACATGGCAGTATGTTTTGCTTCCTTCTTCCCCTTCACCCACATTTGGCATTTCTCCCCAGGCTATCCCTCCCCAGCTCCCCCCTCCACCGCTGTCCCTCCCCTCTTCCCCTCAATAGACCCCAGTGTTTGGTACTCCCTTCCCTGTGTCCATGTGTTCTCATTTTTCATCACCCACCTATGAGTGAGAATATGCGGTATTACATTTTCTGTTCTTGTGTCAGTTTGCTGAGAATAATGTTCTCCAGATTCATCCATGTCCCTACAAATGACATGAACTCATCCTTTTTGATTGCTGCATAATATTCCATGGTGTATATGTGCCACATTTTCCCAATCCAGTCTATCACCAATGGGCATTTGGGTTGGTTCCAGGTCTTTGCTATTGTAAACAGTGCTGCAATGAACATTCGTGTGCATGTGTCCTTATAGTAGAACGATTTATAGTCCTTTGGATATATACCCAGTAATGGGATTGCTGGGTCAAATGGAATTTCTATTTCTAAGGCCTTGAGGAATCACCACACTGTCTTCTACAATGGTTGAACTAGTTTACGCTCCCACCAACAGTGTAAAAGTGTTCTTATTTCTCCACATCCTCTCCAGCATCTGTTGTCTCCAGATTTTTTAATGATCGCCATTCTAACTGGCGTGAGATGGTATCTGTGTGGTTTTGATTTGCATCTCTCTAATGACCAGTGATGATGAACATTTTTTCATATGTTTGTTGGCCTCATGTATGTCTTCT